ACCTGACTCCCCTTCTGATGTTCAGGGACACAAAATAAATCTTAAAAAGATAAAAGAGTTCAAGGTCATCGCCCTCCCTACACAGCTGGTTCAGGTCAGCCTTGTGAGACTTCAAAACAAAATCAACAGCTGGGCATGGTGGGGCATGTCTGTGTCATCCAGTGGTGGAGGCCCAAGAATCAGGGAACCCAAGCAGTCCAGACAACGAGATACTGTCTAAACAGAGAAAGACAAAAAGGCAGGTGAGATGGCTTGGAGTTCCAGCTCTTGCCACAAAGTCTGAATTTGATTCCTGGGACCTATATGGTAGAAGGAGAAAGCCTCCTCCCCAAGTTGTCCTCTAATTTCCACAGATTCACTGTGGCACACACATAAATAAATAAATGTAACATAAGTGACAAAAATTGAAAAAGCACCCTCACCATCTACCCTTCCTAAGGAAACCTCATTGATTGATTGATTGATTGAGATAGGGTCTCTGGACAGCCCTAGCTATCTTGAAACTCACAATGTAAATCTGCCTCCCTCTGCCTCTCTTGTTCTGGGCTTGAGGGCTTGCACCACCATGCCTGGTGGAAACCTTTTAAAAAATGTTTTTTGTTTTGTTTTGTTTTTGAGGCTGGAGAGATGGCTCAGGGGTTAGGAACACTTACTACCCTTGCAGAGGACCTGAGTTCAGTTCCCAACACCCTCATGAGGTGGCTTTCAACTGTCTGGCATCTGGCATCTGCATTCATGTGGTGCCCTTAAACTCCTGCAGGCACACATACACACATAAACAGCAATAAATACATCTTTAAAAAATATTTTAGAGAGCTGGACAGTGTGGCGCATGCCTTTAATCCCAGCAGTTGGGAGGCTGAGGCAGGTGGATTTCTGTGTTTGAGACCAGCTTGGTCTACAGAGCGAGTTCCAGCACAGCCAGGACTACACAGCCTGGTCTACAAGAGCTAGTTCCAGGACAGCCTCGAAAACTACAGAGAAACCCTGTCTCGAAAAACCAAAACCAAAACCAAAAACAAAAAAAACCTAGAGCTGGGCAGTGATGGTCCATGCTTTAATTATAGCACTGGGCAGGCAGATCTCTGTCAAAGTTCCAGGCCAGTTGGAGATACACAGTGAGACCCTGTTCAAAAGGCAAACAATATCAATAAACAAAAAACCTACATTGATTTATGTGTGTGAGGGCATGCAAGGCACAGTTCTAACATGGAGGCCAGAGGACAACTTGAAGGAGTTGGTTCTCTCCTTCCATCATGTGAGTTCCAGAGACTGGACTCAGGTAGTGCACCTTGGAGGCAAATCCCTTTAAAAGCTGAGCCACCTAACTAGTCCTAACAAAATCTTTTGCTTTCCTTCTTAGTACCAGCAAACATTCTCTTATTTGAACGCTAGCTCAAGGCCCCTGCTTGCTTTATTCCCATTGCTCAAAACAGGGCCTGATAAACCATCCCCCATGCCGCCCTGCTCCGGAGCTGCTGCAGAGTAGGCAGCAGGTACAGGTACAGCACTGTGTATGTAACTCAGCAGCTGCTTGGGAGGAAAGGTCCATCTGCTCTGACCCCAGGCTATTCCTTTTCTGGGTCATTTTACCTGGGTCACTTGCTCTCTCTGGGCCTGGAGAGGGCAGTCCCAGAGGCTGACAAGTTAGAGGAGCCCCACACTCATTCACAAACCTCCTGTATTCTAAAAGCCCTGAGGGAGTCAGTACCATGAGAGCATGGGTGGGGAGGACCTGCCAGTAGTTTCTTCCGGCGGTACCTTATGACCAGGAGCCTTCGGCTTGCCTTCACTGAACCCCAGGAGTTAGAAATATGTACTAAGGAGGGGGTGGGGCTAGGAATTCCAGCTTCAGAGCAGCCCTTGGACCCAGTCCCCGGGGACATTCCAGAGGCCACTTTACGCAGGGAGGGGCCCTGAGTACAGAGGCCTTATGGCTGGATTGCAAGGCACTAGACACGCTGTCAGTCCTACCTCAGTTTCCTAGTCTGTAAAAAGGGAGTATGTTTTCCGGGACGCTCCAGGGCCTCCCCCATTAGTAGTGCCCTCCTGACAACTGACATCCCGCTGTCCCCAGGAAGCTGCCCTCTGGACAGAGACCTTGCCAGTGTAACAGGAAGTTCCCTTCTTCCTCAATTTCTTCCCTAAAATGTGCAGCTTAGGGTCTTCCTGCACAGCTGGGCTTGGATGTCCCCAGCAGAAGTGACATGTGGCTTCTGAGAGGAGCACCAAGGAGCAGGCCTTGAATGAGATTGTAAACATTCTCTTGTCCCAAGGTCTTTCCAGGGCAGGGGACCCTTGCAGAAGAAAACAAAACGAAACAAAACAAAACTAGAGCTACAGGTGTCATCCACCGGCTGGGCCACACTGTGCCTGCCAGCTGGGCGCCTTCCTGACGGTGACAGCACTTTGTCAGGGCAAAGTTCTCCACAGAAGACCAGCTTCACTTCCTCTGCCTTCCCCTTCCTCCACTTCCTCTTTCCACCCACCCCCACCCTGTTTTCTGTGCTCTCTCCTGTCTGCACCCCAAACTCAACAACTCAGGCATCCCCCTCTGGCCCTGCGGTCTTGTCCTCTCAGGGTCCTCTCTCGTCTTTCATGGCTGGGGACACCCAGGCCAGGCAGTCTCTTATTCATCAGACAGAACAGAGCCCCTCAGTGTGTGTGTAGTGGGAGGAAGTGGGGGTGACGGAGCCCCTCAAAGGGCTGGCTTGTTTGATGTTGTGGGGGTTGGGGGCAGTCCCAAGTTATTAAGACTAGCCTGAATAGGCACCCTGACTATCTGCATAGATACTCAGGAAGCTGAGGCAGGAAGATCAGGGGTTGGAGGCCAGCCTGGGCTCTACAGGGAGGCCTTGTTTCAAACAAGCAGGCCTTGGGCATGGTGGACACATGCCTTTAATCACAACACTCAGGAAGCGGAGGCAGGATGATTAGGAGTTCAAGGTTACTTGGCTACATAGTGAATTTGAGGCCAGCCTAGGTTGCCTGAGACAGTTGTCAAAAACAAAAGAACAAAACCACACACACACACACACACACACACACACAAACTTCCCGACAAACCAAGAAAATCTCAATCTGCCTATCTCTCCCCCTTCTCAAGAATGCCTAAGAGAACACTGGAAAGTGGCTATTGCAGACAAGACAGAACAATGAATCAGTGGGATAGATCAGAACTGTTCCAGAGGTGGGGTGGGACGGGAGAGCCTGCCCCTTGACCAGCCCAAGGACAGAGAGAGAGAGAGAGAGAGACAGAGGTGACAAAGTGGCAACACAGGTCCTGCCTGGGAATCTGGTCTGCTCCTACCTAGTAAAGCTGCCTGGTGTCCCATAAGATGTTCCAGCCTCATCCTGCACCCCTGGTGCAGGCAGCATTTTCTCCCCTGCACCTCACCAGGGCTCCCCTGGGAACACTGCAGGCAGTCCTCATTGACAGCCAGTATTTGCCCTGCCCTACCCCCACCTGTGAATTGCAGGCCTGGCAGGTCCTCAGGCAGCTGGCAAACTGCCTGAACAACTGAGAGATACAGGGCCAGGGCCAGGGCAGTCCCGTCCCCCGGAGGCAGGGAGGGAACAGGCTGGGAAAGTTCTCCCAGGCCCAGGTTGGTAACTGCAGAAGGCTTTTGTCAAATCTGTTTTGTGGGAATGGAACGACACAGTAGTCCTGAACCTGGGGGTGTCCAATATATGCTGGGGTCACCCTTTCCATACTGGAGGCTCTGCAGCTTCAAAATGCTGTGCTACCAGCCTAGCACAAGGAAGCTGGTCCAGCCTCCTCATGCAGGGCCACTGCTGTAGTCCATATATGGATGAAGCCTTTCTTGGTTTCAAAACCTACACCCAGTAAGCCCCTACTATGTCTATGCAAAGCCGTGACAGGCCCAGAGCAACTCACCTGAAGCACTCTTGCCTAAATTCAATTTTCTGTTACCTTCTCCCAGGAGGTGTGTGTCCCTCTAAATTAAGCCAAGGATCCCTCATCCCCCATTCCTGGTGTAATTATCAGCAGAATAGCTTCCGGAGCAGAACAGTTTTGGGTGCTGAAGTTTTGCCTGAAGTTTGATAAATAGACCAATGTTGAGGACAGCATGGGGGCATCTTCTCCAGTGGATTAGGGGCTCCAGGCACCACCAACTCCTCTCTGAGAACACTGTCCTTCCCAGAGTCCCCACAGCCTCCAGATGGACTAGAACACAGTTTGGCTGTGGCTGCACATAACAGAGGATAGAGGGTGGGCCCCAGCCCAACGGTGCCTGGCAATCACCCAGAGCCACCAGCTAACGGCCCAGACTTAGCTTTGCCTGGGTGTGATCAGGCAACCCTCCAAAAGTGCCCGGACTCCATGACAAGTTTTGCTTGTTCTATAGAGCAGTTCCTTTCTAGGTCTGGGGCAAAGGACATCGGGAGACATCAAGGCTGGCCCTGTTCTTGGAGTGTGGCCCTGAGTCTCCAAAGTGGCCCAAACCCGTTAAGACCCCTCCAACCACAGTTTTGCTTCTAAATTGTACCCCAAACCACCTAGTAAATTGGAACCCCCACCAGAATTCCCCCAGATCTGACTTTCGGGCTATTGCCGGCAAGGGGGAGTGACTCCCTGCCCATTCAATCCAGGCCCCGAGTGTTCCTCAAACAAGAAACCACGTAAACATGGCCGGGGTCTCCATGCTGACCCTTGCCCATGGAGGTATTAAATGTTCACGTGACATCCACACCCAGAGGGGTCCTGGGGTGGGTGGGTGTGTGGTGACCCCGAGAATGCAGGCCTGATAACTGAGACCCTGAATCCGGCAATGTCCACAAGGGCAGAGGCTATTCGTGCATATTCGGGCCTATGGGGCCAGCACCCATCGCCAAAACTCTCCATCCTCTTCCTCAATCTCGCTTTCTCTCTCTCTCTCTCTCTCTCTTTTTTTTTTTTTTTTTTGCAAAAGGAGGGGAGAGGGGGCAAAAAAATGCTGCACTGTGCGGCTAGGCCGGTGAGTGAGCGGCGCGGAGCCAATCAGCGTTCGCCGTTCCGAAAGTTGCCTTTTATGGCTCGAGTGGCCGCTGTGGCGTCCTATAAAACCCGGCGGCGCAACGCGCAACCACTGTCGAGTCCGCGTCCACCCGCGAGCACAGGCCTCTCGCAGCTCTTTCTTCGCCGCTCCACACCCGCCACCAGGTAAGCAGGGACAACAGGCCCAGCCGGCCACAGCCCTCCCGTGGGCAGTCACCTAGCTGCAGGGTCGCTGGAGACACTCGGCGCGGACACCGGGAAAGGGTGGAGGGTGATGCCGGGCCGCGGAGCGGACACTTGCAGATCCAACTTTCAGTGCAGGGTGTAGACCCTTTGCAGCCGCTTTGTCGCGGTGTAGACACTGGTGGACCCGCTCTGGCTCAGAGCATGCGGCTCGGGGAACCCGCGTAGGATCGCAGTGTGGGCGCTACAAGAGCCGATGCGACTTTTGGGTGTTGGGCCGTATCTGCCCACCTTGAGGGAACACAATGTTGGGAGCCAAACGCCACGATCACGCCTTGGTGGCCCATGGGTCTTTGTCTAAACCGGTTTGCCCATTTGGCTTGGCCGGCTGGCGGGCGCGGCGGGGCCGGCTCGGCCGGGTGGGGGCTGGGATGCCATTGCGCTTGCGCGCTCTACGGCTGGTTATTGGGGCGCGTGCACGCTGGGGAGGGAGCTCTTCCTCATCCCCCCCCTCGCAAGTTAAACTTGCGCGTGCGTATTGAGACTTGGAGCGCGGCCACTCGGGGTTGGGAGGGCGGGGCCGTTGTCCGGAAGGGGCGGGGTCGCAGCGGCTCGGGGCGCCTGCTCGCGCTTCCTGCTGGGTGTGGTCGCCTCCCGCGCGCGCACCAGCCGCCCGCCGGCGGGGCGAAGGCGGGGCTTACGCCCGTTTGGGGAGGGGGCGGAGGCCTGGCTTCCTGCCGTGGGGCCGCCTCCGGACCAGCGTTTGCCTTTTATGGTAATAACGCGGCTGGCCTGGGCTTCCTTTGTCCCCCGAGCTTGAGCGCGCGCCCCCTGGCGGCCCGAGGCCGCGGCGTGCCGGAAGTGGGCAGGGCGGCAGCGGCTGCGCCTTGTGGCTCCGCGGTGATCGCGACCCTCTTTTGTGCCCCGATACAGTTCGCCATGGATGACGATATCGCTGCGCTCGTTGTCGACAACGGCTCCGGCATGTGCAAAGCCGGCTTCGCGGGCGACGACGCTCCCCGAGCTGTCTTCCCCTCCATCGTGGGCCGCCCTAGGCACCAGGTAGGTGACCCTAACCCTTGCGGGTAGCGATGCTGGGGTTTCCTGGAGGGAGGTGGCCATATTGAGAACACCGTTCTCCGCAGGGCGTGATGGTGGGTATGGGCCAGAAGGACTCCTACGTGGGTGACGAGGCCCAGAGCAAGAGAGGTATTCTGACCCTGAAGTACCCCATTGAACACGGCATTGTCACCAACTGGGACGACATGGAGAAGATCTGGCATCACACCTTCTACAACGAGCTTCGTGTGGCCCCCGAGGAGCACCCTGTGTTGCTCACCGAGGCCCCCCTGAACCCCAAGGCTAACCGTGAAAAGATGACCCAGGTCAGCAGCCGGAGTGGCCACCTCCATCTTTGCTAACTTCTCAGCCACGCCCTTTCTCAATTGTCTTTCTTCTGCCGTTCTCCCATAGGACTCTCTTCTATGAGCTGAGTCTCCCTTGGAACTTTGCAGTTTCTGCTTTTTCCCCGATGAGGTCTTTTTCTCTCGATTGCCTTTCTTACTAGGTGTTTTAAACCCTACAGTGCTGTGGGTGTAGGTACTAACAATGGTTCGTGTGACAAACTTAATGAGGCTGGTGATAAGTGGCCTTGGAGTGTGTATTCAGTAGATGCACAGTAGGTCTAAATGGAGCCCCTGTCCTGAAACTCCCAGCACTTACCTTAGCTGTGTTCTTGCACTCTGCATGTCCCAAATCTGTCCTGACAGTCTTACCTGCCCTATTTATGGCTTTTGGGAATTTGACAACGCTCTATTTTCCCCTACAGATCATGTTTGAGACCTTCAACACCCCTGCCATGTACGTAGCCATTCAGGCCGTGCTGTCCCTGTATGCCTCTGGTCGTACCACTGGCATTGTGATGGACTCCGGAGACGGGGTCACCCACACTGTGCCCATCTATGAGGGCTACGCTCTCCCTCATGCCATCCTGCGTCTGGACCTGGCTGGCCGGGACCTGACAGACTACCTCATGAAGATCCTGACCGAGCGTGGCTACAGCTTCACCACCACAGCTGAGAGGGAAATCGTGCGTGACATCAAAGAGAAGCTGTGCTATGTTGCCCTGGACTTCGAGCAAGAGATGGCCACTGCTGCATCCTCTTCCTCCCTGGAGAAGAGCTATGAGCTGCCTGATGGCCAGGTCATCACTATTGGCAATGAGCGGTTCCGTTGCCCCGAGGCTCTTTTCCAGCCTTCCTTCTTGGGTGAGTTGAAGTGACCTAGTTTCTTCATTTTTAATGGCAACCAACTCTTGAGACCATGCTATAAGCCTGCTCTCTCTCCCTTTCCCCTCAGGTATGGAATCCTGTGGCATCCATGAAACTACATTCAATTCCATCATGAAGTGTGATGTTGACATCCGCAAAGACCTCTATGCCAACACAGTGCTGTCTGGTGGTACCACCATGTACCCAGGCATTGCTGACCGGATGCAGAAGGAGATCACTGCTCTGGCTCCCAGCACCATGAAGATCAAGGTGAGCTAAGCATCCTTAGTCGTGGGCCCATGATGGACCCTGTGGTTGCAAGATCAGCCACCTTGGCTGCGGGTGAGGCAGGCATCCAGCACACTCACTTGTCCCTGTTTCTTGCCTTCCTCAGATCATTGCTCCTCCTGAGCGCAAATACTCTGTGTGGATCGGTGGCTCCATCTTGGCCTCACTGTCCACCTTCCAGCAGATGTGGATCAGCAAGCAGGAATACGATGAGTCTGGTCCCTCCATCGTCCACCGCAAATGCTTCTAGGCGGACTGTTACTGAGCTGCGTTTTACACCCTTTGACAAAACCTAACTTGCGCAGAAAAAAAAAAATGAGACAACATTGGCATGGCTTTGGTTTTTTGTTTTTGTTTTTTTCTAATTTTTTAAAAAAATGTTTTGTTTTTTGTTTTGTTTTGGCGCTTTTGACTCAGGATTTAAAAACTGGAACGGTGAAGGCGACAGCAGTCGGTTGGAGCAAGCATCCCCCAAAGTTCTACAATGTGGCTGAGGACTTTGATTGTACATTTTTTTTTTTTTTTTGTTTCTTTTTTAAGTCATTCCAAATACCCATGAGATGGCTACAGGAAGTCCCTCACCCTCCCAAATGCCACCCCCATTCCATAGAGGAGGATGGCTGAGTCCATGCCCTGAGTCCACACCGGGGAGGTGACAGCATTGCTTCTGTGTAAATTATGTACTGCAAAAATTTTTTTAAATCTTCCGCCTTAATACTTTTTGTTTTTGAATGGTCAGCCATCGTGGCCCTCTTTTTTTTTTTTTTTTTTTTTTTTTTTGTCCCCCCAACTTGATGTATGAAGGCTTTGGTCTCCCTGGGAGTGGGTTGAGGTGTTGAGGCAGCCAGGGCTTGCCTGTACACTGACTTGAGACCAGTTTAATAAAGTGCACACCTTACAAACACTGCTTGTTCTGTGGCTTTGATAGATGGGAAGCAGGTAGAGGAGGGAAGTTGCCATCTTTGCTCCAAGAGGGCATCTAGAGTGGGTTGGGCCTAGTAGCTTATAGTGGGAGGGCACAAGGTTTAAGACCTTCAACCAGGTATCTCAAATCCCCTGTCCATTGAGTTCTGCAGTCTTTGTGTCTTGGTTGGAAGGGTGCCCTTCCTGAATTGGGAATACCCACCCTGGGCCAAGTTGGGTTCCTTTTCTCAGCCTTTATGCACCTAGAATGTTTTTTCCTGGAAATCAGCCCCTTTGTCACCTGGGAAGCAGGGTACCCTATCTTCTGACTGGAGGGTAGCTTTACTGCCTATGGCCTGTGCCCTCCCTTCTGTATTTCTAAGAATATCAAAGGCCTCATTTATATGTTGGTCACCTTTTGAGTTTTGCAAGACAGAAGTAAAAGCAGTCTTGGCTGCTCTTTACCAGATCTATGACCACAGAAAGTTCAAGGGTGTAATAATGCTCCCTAGGAATGGTTATCTTTCCCGGTACTTTGTGAGAACCTTGAATTAAGGATCACCAATGACAAGTTGCTAAAGAAAGATGTGGAAGGAGGTAGTACCTGGAAAATAAGTCCCTTTGGGGTGGGGAGTCTTCAGGAAGTGCCCTCCTGAGACAGTTCAGCTGTGATAGATGGACCCTGATGTTGCAAGTCACTTCTGCCTGGACCACGAAAACAGGTGGATCAAGAATCCCATTCATTTGCCCACCTAGCTGTATTCCTACCAATCTGTTCATCAGCCATTCACCCACCCTCTCTCACCAAGTAACCACTTGGGCAATAGGGTAGAATCCAAACCAGATGTCCCCCCTGCCTTCAGGAGGTATTCAGTGCATGGTAAAAAGCATTGAAGGCAAATTGCATACACAAAAGGTTCTGGGCTAGAGATATAGCTTAGCTCTGAAAGGCTAAGGCTCAAGACCAAAACCAAGGAGAGCAGAGACCAAGTGGTCTCACTAATGTAGATATCAAAGGCTCTGAGGCTGAGGCCAGCGTGGGCTGCATGATGAGACCCTGTCTTAAGGGAATGAGTCTCATAGATGTTATTTCAGAGATGAAGTTAGGAAGATGAGTATGAGGCCATCCCTAGCTACCCATTGAGTTTGAGGCCAGCCTGGCATACATGAGACACTGCCTCAAACAAAAGTCCCTAAAACAATAAACCACCTCAGGTGAGAACAAAATCTAAGGCTGGGCATGATGGTGCACACCTTTAATACCAGTAGTCTGGAAGCAGAGGCAGGTGGGTGTGAGTTTGAGGTCAGTCTGATCTACTGTGTGAGAGCTTTGACAGACAGAACTTCATAGTGAGACCTTCTCAAAAAAGAGACCAAAGCAAAGGCAATGCAGGCTTATACATAGACCTAGGCAGAGAGGCTGGAGGGAGAGTGACCAAGGCAGACAGTGTGGTTGGTTGGAATCTAGGGTTGACTGGGGACAAAGCTGGAAGACAACACTACCCTCTGGACAGAACAGGACCCAGGTTGGTTGCCAAGTCCCCATTTGAGAAATGGACACACCAGTAGCAGCTGTTGCTCCTTCAATCTTTGCCATTAAAGGATCCAAAGTGTAGCCTCCAGAGTATCCAGTGTATCCTCTGGCCCCGCCCCCTTTCCTCCCTGGTCTAGCAGGCAAACTGGCTATTCAAGGCCAGGTTCACAACAAAGGCCTATCACTGTGCATGCCTCCCCTCCCCCCTAGAGATTGTACCAGGGCCTCACACATCACCAGAGAAGTCTATCTCCAACCCTTTTCTGGTTCTCCTGCTCCAGCAGCAGCAATAATGATAATAACAGCAATGATAGCTATAGCTCAGTTGACAAAGTGCTTGCCTAGCATACACAAAGGCCTGGGTTTGATCCCCAGCAGAAGGACCAGCAGTCCAAGGTCATCCTTGGCTATATAATGAATTAGGCCAGCCTGTTTCAAAACAAAAAGAGGAAAAAAAAAAAAAAAAAGTGGGAGTGAGTGGGTAAAAGTTCCTGCCCTTGAGTCTTTTCTTTCCAGAAATGTGAAAACTAGACAGATTCTAGCTGGGTGTTGGGTGGCGCATGCCTTTAACCCCAGCACTGGGGAGGCAGAGGCAGGTGGATCTCTGTGAGTTGGAGGCCAGCCTAGTCTACAGAGCAAATTCCAGTACAGGCTCCAAAGCAATACAGAGAAACCCTGTCTGGAAAACCAAAACCAACCAACCAAACAAACAAACAAAAAGCAAAAAGAAAACAAACAAAAAACAAAACCAAAGACAGTGGGGGAGGTTCTCCTCTGCGCTCTCCCCACTGCAACAGGGCAGCTTCGCCTCTGCAGACTCCACCCCTGGGACAGTTGGCTCTGGCTTTTTCAGGTCACTGGCTCCCCCATGAGGCAGCTCCGACTCCAGTAGTCACCTTTGCAGACTTGAATCCAACTCTCCTTCCACAAGTCATCCAGGTCCTGCCCCAGCACAGGTGGGAGGGTTGGAATTCCGGGGCTTCCTTCATGAATCCCCATCAAGAGGACAGAGGGAGCCTGCTCACGATCACACTACTGTCTGCAGAATGGCCATCTCACCTGTGGAGAAACAGGAAGCTCTGGGGAGGCAGTGGCAAGATTTGAACACATGCCAGGCTGGGGAGGGACGGCTGGCAGAGCATTCATTGTCCTAGCACCAGAAGGGCAAGTGTTGGGACAGAGCAGAAGGAGGGCCCTCCCAGGGCACACTGCTTCTGATCTGCTGGTGGTTACAACAGATAGACATGAACTATCACTGCCCATACCACTGACTAGATTCCTCATTCAGTCACTTATAGACCAACAAAATAAAATTTTGTGTGTGTGTGTGTGTGTGTGTGTGTTATGGACAAAGCCTCTTGTAGCACAATCTGGTAGTAAATTCAGCATATAACTGAGACTGGTTTGGAAAGAGTGGTACAGGGCTGCCATTTCAGCATATGGGAAGTAGGAAGGAGAATCAGAAGTTCAAATTCAACCTTAGATACTTGAGACTCTGTCTCAAAAAAGCAAAACAAACAAACAAAAAAGAGGCGAAGTAAGCCAGGCAGTGGTGGTGGTGCACAGTGAGTTTGAGACCAGCTGGTCTATCAAGTGAGTTACAGGACAGCCAGAACTGTTACACATAGAAGCCCTGTCTCAAAAACAAACAAACAAACAAACACCCAACAACAACAACAACAAAAAAAAAAAAGATTAAGTCTCACTGTGTAGTTCTAAATAGCCAAGAACTATGTAAATCAGGCAGGGTCCTTTCTGGGGATTCTAGGCAGGTACTCTATCACTGAGCCACATCACAGCCCCTCACTGGAGGATCCAGATGATCATTTTGCCATTAAGCCATATTGCTCACCAGTGAAGTTTACTCTTGTTGCTCAGTTCAGTTCTATGTGCGACTTGAGTTTATTTAAATTTAAATTTAGTACAATGAAGAATTCAGTTCTTAAGTCCCACAAGCTGCATTTCAATTGTGCAATAGCCAGCAGCTGCAGGGCTGGGGAAATAGCTTAGTGGGCTAAGCTTTCACTTCCCAACCATGGGAAACTGAGTTTAGACACGGTCTTAGGGTTTCTATTGCTGCGATGAAACACAACAATCAAAAAGCAAGTTAGGGCTTATTTGGCTCACACCTCTATAGCACTGTTCATCATTGAAGGAAGTCAGGACAGGAACTCAAACAGGGCAGGAGTTGAAGCAGAGGCCACTGAGGGGTGCTGTTCACTTCTCCTGGCTTGCTCAGCCTGTTTTCTTATAGAACCCAGGATTAACAGCCCAGAGATGGCACCACCCACAATGGGTTGGGCCTTCCTCCATCCATCAGATTAGTATTTGAGAAAATGCTTCACAGCTGGCTCTGGTGGAGGCATTTCCACAGCTGAGGCTCCTTCCTGTGATAACTCTATAACTTGTGTCAAGTTGACACAAAACCAACCACTACAGACCCCCAGACATGTCAGGCTAGACATAGAGCACATCTATAACCCAGCCCGCCACGCCACAGCAGGATGGGAGGTCGATTCAGGGGAGTACCTGGAAGCTCAGGTCAACTGTCAGGGCAAACAACAAACAGAGCCTACCTTGAACAAGGTGGAAGGTGAGGCCCACACTCCCACCTCATTGTTCCCTGGCCTCCACATGAGCACACGTATGTACACACCCCCCACATTCCCCACCCGCACACACATAAACATTTTTTTAAAAAATGTTTTTCAAGCCAAGTCATCATGGCACATGCCTTTAATCCCAGCTCTCAGGAGGCAGGTGGATCTCTGTGAGCTTGATGGCTTGAGGCCAGCCTGGTCAACATAGCAAGTTCTAGGACAGCTAGAGCTACACAAAGAAACCTTGTCTTGAAGCACCATCCACAAAAAATAAAACATTTTTCAAATTTATTTTGTGTGTAGGGGCTAGCCTATCAAAATGTGCTATATGTGTGTGGAGGGCATCTCCTTGCGTTCTCTCTGCCCTCCAGAATGTTCCTCATCTGGTAGCCCTGCCTAGACTTCCTGTGTGGCTACTGACCAATCAGTGCTTTAGTCCTCAACCAAGAAGAATACAGAATAACATCCCCCATCAGACAACTTATGGGCGTCAATCCTCTCCTTTCACCATGTGGGTCCTGGTGTTGAACTCAGGTAATCAGACTTGGCAGCAAGCATTTTTACTTGCTGAACCCCACTACCTGTATTTCCTCAGATTAAAAAAAAAAAAAAAAAAAAAAAAAAGGTTGTGTATGTGCAGCCCAGTGGCAAAGCACTTCAAACTTCCCCAATCTGTACCCAGCACTGGGGCGGGGGGGGGGGGGGAATCAGTATTCTTTAGAGCAGTTTTTAGGCTGACAGTGAGATGCCTGTCCTCATCCACCCACAGCCGCCCCCACTGCCAGCATGGGGAAGCTGGGTGCTCCATTTGTTACAAATGATGAGCCCATATCTACACCTCCTTTCCTGTTGCCAGAGCTGAGGCTG